TGAAGCAACCCATGGCTACCGACAAGGATCCTTCTATCAGGCTGGGTCGACTACCTCCTCTGACTAAGTAGACCAGGGACCACGATGGTCTGGGACGACGGAACTATGGCATCTTGATCGGGTTTATCATCCATTCCCCTACCATCCGCTTTAAGTGCTAGATGGTGAAATTTCTGATTTAAATATTAAACCTTTCTAAATGCCCAAATCCAAACCCAAATCTCAAATTTCCAAATATCAATACCTATGCTGCTACTATATGCCAGATAACACGTATACTCTACGTATTTGATTGACGACTAGCCTTAATCGAAAGTTCTCTCTCATTATTGGGAGGGGTAATTAACTATAGGGGCTTGCGCCTATAGGAAACCAGAACTCGGATCATAAAGTCCTCACAAAATGAGGGCGAAAGCTCTGGGTAGTGTCTTATCTACAAACCCATATGCCTTCCAAATTTTACCTAAGAACTTATTCAGTTAAAACTCCCTCGCCGAATAAAAAGAAAAGCAGGCGGAGGGCAGGGATGAATTTTCGGAGCCCGCATAATCCTACCGCCAATAATCAAATTTCTTATTGAAATCCACTAGCCCAACCATTCCTTCAACACCAACAAACTAAACACTTGTATTTATAGAAAGTAACAAAAACACTAGGCATTCAATTGCCATTTCCTTTGCCTCCTTTTAAGCAGCATCAAGCTTGTTGTTGCCTTTGGGTGTGCTGGCCTAGACATTGTACTTGATACTCTTATGAATATCATCTTCACTATATGACTTGATGACAAAAAAATTTGGCCTATGTGTATTTATCAGAGAAAATCAGTTCTATTGTATTGCTCTCTTCCAGAGACAACACTAGGATCTTTGACATTTTCATGAGGGAGGCTCTTCCCTTTTACTTTAATTGTAATCGAGGATACAGGAGCCTTATAATTTTTAAATTGATTGGGCCTTGGTCCTCTGTTTAATTCACTAAATCCATCACCATTATCATTTTTAAAAACCATAAATGAATTCTGATTTCTTGATGGCGTTGAATTAGCATTATGTTAAATAGTTGAAGATATAACATTGTTTGTAGCTGATCTTGTATAGGCATCAAAGAAAGTAGATCCATCAAACTATGGAATGGGTGATCGCATACCATCAAAGTTGAACCTTGGGCCCTGGTATCCAAGAGAGGGGTGTCCACCAAGTAAAACACCTCTACCATATGAACCATTTGAAGTCAAGGGTGAATTTTGCTTCCTTTGTTTTAGAGACGCAGACCCACCATTCGTAGTGGCACTCACATTATTGACCCCATTTGAATCGGATTTGGCAATATCCACAGGTACGGGAAGCTGATATCAATGTGTTTTTTTTAGGCTATAGGAGGAAGCAAATAGTTTGCTCAATTCTCGGAGTAAACCAATGCCGGCAATGACCCTCCCTTCCTTGCTTTCCATTTCTGAGAGAAGGTTTGAACTCCCAGTTCGTGTTTCTCTCGATCTCCAAAGAGGAATCGACTCCATCTCTTCGACATTCTCTCCAAGAATAGCCAAACCCAGCTCTCGATTGCCAAGGGAATTAGGGAAAGAGTGAAACTCTCTACCTTTACTTCTCAAAATGCTGAATGAACCTCCCCTCTCATCCATCTCTCTCGCTGTCTAGGAGGATTCACACGCAATAAGAAAAGAAAATGCAGGAAATAGAGACGTCGAAGGGGCCGAAGCTGGGAAGTGGAGTTCAATGGGGCGTTCTCAAACGGGAGAATTGGGTTGATATTGAAGGCGAAAGCTCTCGCATGAGGAAAGGCTGCGAATGGTTGGAGGTCAGGAGAAAGTTGAGCAAGTTCAGAAGATTGAGACTTTACAGCGGGAAATCAAAGAAGGTGTAGAAAGGTATGAACGAGATTATGTGCTTGCATATTCAGACGGATGGGAGTTCATTCGTGGGAGCAAGAAGAAAGTGAGGTGTGCTCTGGCTTTGTTTTTGATGACGAGTAAAGCATTTGATCGAGGTGAGCTGTGATTAAGACCTGCTATCACAAGATTTACGGCTGATACAAGGTTTGCATTTATTTTGAGTTGAACTTTAATTGGCATGCCAAAGAAAAAATTGATTGTGATAGCCTTTTCTCCCAATCACTTTTGAATAGATATTTTTAATCATTAAAATAGGCAAAGAATATTATTTTTATCATTAATTCAAAATGGCAGCTTTGCGTCAATCACTCAAAAATTTCCTTAATTCAGGCGCATTTCCTCAAATTGCACGTAATCATCTCGAAACTTATATCAATTTATGTGTGTAACTTTCGTTGGGTAAGATTATGGTCTACTTTGGATATTATCAACATTCTAGATGCAACGAAAAAATCTGTTTTGCAATCAGGCATCATTTGGGTGATGTCTCATGTTAATTTTGGTTGTCGATTGTCCCTTTAGACCTATCTCGTCTGATTTGATTGTGAAGGATCTCTCTTGGCGAACTCGATGCCTAATTACAATTGAATAGTTTATTTGGAAATCGGAGGTCATTTGGCAGTTCAAGTGATGCATCGCGTCAATGTGCACATTGCTTAAATTGGGGTTTCCCCTTTTTATATGTTTTGATGTGTAAGGGTCAACAAACCCCTCCAACAAATGTGGTACGCATCTAGAGTGAACCATGTTTGTTGTATGCTGATTAACTCTATGAATGTTCAAATATTTGTTCTAGATGTCACACTAAAATTTTCATTATGCGGATTTCTAAGGGTCTGCACTTTGGCACCATGCTAGTTCTTTGTCTTGCAAGAATTTCCACATATTGACTTTAGCAGATTTCACTGCTCTCTCACTCCCTTCTACCACCACCACTTTAGCTTTTGGCATTTTATATACGCTCGACATTTTTATTATTACAATCATATATAGATAAAATAATTTTTTTGTTATATAATTGCAGGTTTTCTACAGTTCAGAATTTGTCTAAGCTTTGAAGATTCACTAGTTTGCAGAACTCTGTTGCCTCAAGTTTTCTATAGTTGTCCTCAGCTCTAGTATGCCCACTCTATTTCTTAGCTTTCACTTTAATTTTACATTACTCATTTTATACATATATTGTGATGCCTCACTACTTTGTGTAGGTCCTTATAGGAACAAGATATTAACTAGTTAGCTGCCATGGAATGCTTCACCTTAGGTATATTTTTACTTTGCTTGTTTGCAGAGCTTTCCTTTCTTTAGTTTAAGGCGTCTTAAAAAAAAGCATAAGAGTTCCTTTTCAAGACATTTCTTAAATATTATGGCTTTAAATCAAACAAGCGTTCGACGAGCTACTCGTGGCTCGGCTTGATAAGAGCTCATTCATGTTTATTTGAGAAGGTAAATAAACGAGTTTGAATACTTCTGATAAATACTCAATAACTAAATAAACGAGCTAAACAACTTGGTGTTCGGTTCGTTTATGTTCATGAACAGTATCGTTTAATGTTAATGAACAAGCTCGTTAAGAAGCTTGATTAGAGCTCGACAAAGAAGCTCAATTATAATTATATTAGAGTTTAAAAAATACATATTGTTAAATTTAATAATTTATTTTTTACTAATCATGTCTAAAATTATTTCATAATTTATTTTTATTTCCCGCATTCACCTAAAATCACGAAAAACCCTCTTTTTAAACAAATATAAGATTAACCATAGATCGTTTGTTCGTGAATGAGCTCATTTGGTAGCTCAAGAATACTCATTATATATGTTCGTGAACAAGCTTTTTTAATTGTTTAAAAATTTTTACTAGATATAATCACGAACATGCTCGATGTAATTATTTGTTAAAAGACTCGACAAAACTCGTTTGTTTAGTTAATGTACATCTAGAAGTAGAGCTCATTTATACCTCGATAAGACTCGTTTGTTCAAAGCTCGATCAGCATGAAATGAACTGAACATGCACCGAACATGAGCACCCATTAATTTAAACGAGCCAAACTTGGACACAAACACAAAAGCTCGAATAAAACTCGAACCCATTCAACGAGCTGATAATAAACGAACTCAAACATAATAAACACGTATATACTCGACTTGGCTCAATTCATTTGCAACCCTATTAAATATGCTCTACTACTAACATACTATGCAATATTATTTTCTTAAGCCCAAAAATACTTATGTAGCTTATATTTATCAAGTATTGATCTTGCTAATTCTACTAAATTATAATTTTTTATTTCAACTACATTTTATTGGGGAGTCTTATATGCTAAAGAGTTATGCCTACTTTCATTTTCATCATAATAATTTTTGAATTCTCCAGCATAATCTATTTACATTCTATGAATTAAGTAAAATTATTCTCATTGAATATGCTTAGCAATTCTTTAAAAATAAAAAAAATATGTTATTTTTATTTGGTAAGGAATAATGCCCAAAAGTATCTTGAATAATCTTTTATAATAAGAAATCTATTATTCTCACCGTGAAGACTAGTTATGTTAATCAATCAAAATAAGTCTATGTATGATAATTCTAAAGGTATTCTAGAGTGACCATCTTTTTACTCTTAAATAAATTTTTAAATTGTTTATAAATCATAATAATAATGTTTTAGTATGAAATCTATTTGGTTACTTTCGTTTAAAGAATAATTTTTAAGTTTTATACCATTCGAAATTTTTTTTATTTAATTCACTAATTTTTACACCTAAAAACTATATAATTATTTTTCAAAATTACAACTCTCACTCTTTCATATTCGAAAAATTCGAATTGCACACAATACCATTTCTCTTGCTTGCAAGTTTAAATTTGATGCTGGAAATAATTGAAGTCATTCTCAAACTTTAAACGGAGTGAAAAGGTGGATTTAAAACAAGTATCACACGGAAAAATCACTAAGAAATAAGTTGTGGCAAAAGGATGGGGAAATGCCCTGCAGATATATCTCTCTCTTTTTTTTTTTTTTAATCATATTTTCATTTTAAATATGCAGATATATCTCTCTTCTAATATAAAGAAATCTAAAAACTACAAGAACGTATCAAAATTAACAGAAAATATTAAAAAAGTAGCACAAACAAAATAGGAGAAAGAGAATGGACCGGCAAAATCAAGCAAGAATATGTATTTTGCTCCAAATGCCAATTGCAGTTTGTAATATTACAAAACAAGAGAAAATATATAAAAACTGCTAGCAGGGGTTTAAATAAGCCTTTGGGTCAAGCTTTGATTATTTAAAGAAAGCTTTGACCAATCATTAAGTCACTGAAGAAGTCCACTTTTCTTGCCCCAGACAATTGCTATGATGTAAAGAATTACACAGCCTCCTACGGTTCCATAGGTGGTTTCCCAGAACTGGTGAAAGGTTTTGACATTGTATAGATCAATGGTAATGTTCATGCCAAATATACCCGTCACCACCACACCAGCTGTGAGGACAAGAGTTGCCATGCTGAGCAAAATTCCCATCTGCAGCAGCTGATTTTGCTTCTCATCAAGCATAATATTGATATAATCCTCAGTGTCATCCACATACTCCCTCAACTTTGAACATACAACGCATAAATAAAAAAGGTAAGAACATTAGGTATATGACAGTTGGTTTTTGGTTTGAATAGCATATGACCTATATGAACTAATGAATCATGAATGTGAATGGATGAAGCTATACGACTTGTTTGATAAACTGGTAACGAAAGGAAGAAATATAGAATGCAAATTCTAAGTTTTCCTGGTTTGGATAGAAATTCTGCATAATAAGATTTGAGAATTGAACTACTTTGCAATTTTCTTCATTATAAAATTCCAAATATAGATTCAAATGTGATTTTTCTTGTAATAAAAGTTCAGATCCACAGCGTCAGCCAATGTCTCAATGTATTAAAGGAATATAACCTTCATTAAAATTAACATTTACCACTACATCTTTGAGGACATGCAAGTAGCTAGGAAGCTCCTAGACAACCCACATCACGGGATGGCTAGAAGGGCATAAGATTGTGGTGCAATCAATTACAGACAAGCGGGCAATGCTGACAGAAAATAAAACGTTACTGGAAAATTGTTGGTGAACAAAACTTTGAATATCATAAAAGACTTTGAATATCATAAAAGATTTGCATGTAAAACATGTAAAAAAATAATTTCAAGTATAAACATACTTAACCCAAGCAGTGTCACGACGGTTCCTGCCCCATTATTTTCGGGCTAGCCGGGCAAGAATTGATAAGGGAATTGGAGAAGTTGGAGATTTCAGTGGTTCAATCCAATGATGCAGAGATTGTGATGTTAAATCAGACTATTATCCAATCAACCTTTCCAGAAAGAGTACGAGAAGCTTTATCACATGATGTAGATTTTAAGAAGATACTGAATATGGTTAGTGTGGGACACATTGAAGATTTTGACCTTGATGGTGAAGGATTACTTCGTTATGGAGGCAGATTGTGTATTCCTGATGTTAATGACTTAAGAAAAAAAATCCTTCAAGAACCTCACTATTCTAGTTATATTATTCATCCAGGCAGTACTAATGTATCAGAACTTAAAAGAGGTGTTTTGGTGGTCAGGAATGAAGAGAAGTATGACAGATACTGTATCAAAGTGTACTTCATATCAGATAGTGAAAATTAAACATCAGAAACCAGGAGGATTTCTACAGCCCTTATCTATACCTGAGTGGAAATGCGAAGATATTACTATGAATTTTGTGGTTGGTTTACCCAGATCCAGAAGAGGTTGTGATGCATTATGGGTAATAATTGATAGGTTAACTAAGTCTGCACACTTTCTACCTATCAAACAGTCTGATCCAGTTGAGAAATTTGTAAGCTTGTATGTTAGTGAGATTGTCATATTACATGGTGTACCAAAGTCTATTATGTCAGATCGGGATGGAAGATTAACTTCCAGATTGTGGAAGAAGGTTTAGGAAGCTAAGGGTACCAGACTTACTTTCAGTACAACTTTCCACCCTCAAACAGATGGATAGTTAGAAAAAACCATCCAAACTTTAGAAGATTTGCTCAGGTTGTGTGTTTTAAATTTTGGTGGTAAATGGGAGACATATGTACCTTTGATTGAGTTTGCCTACAACAACAATTTCCAAGCAAGTATTGGTATGCCTCTTTATGAGGCTTTGTATGGGAGAAGGTGTAGGACACCTTTATGTTGGGCTGAGACAGGGGAAAGGAAAATTATTGGTGCAGATCTGGTTGATGATGCTACAGAAAAGATCAGATTGATCCATAATAAATTGAGGGCAGTACAGGATAGACAAACGAAATATTATGATGTCAAACATCGTCTAGTTGAATTTGAGGTGAGAGAGTTTGTATTCCTAAAAGTCAGTCCGATAAAGGGAGTAAAGAGATTTGACAAAGTAGGAAAGCAGAGTCTAAGATATGTAGGTCCATTTGAGATTGTATAAAGAATTGGAAGTGTGGCCTACAGATTAATTTTGCCAACTTATATGAGTGGAGTACATAATGTATTCCACATCTCTTCTTTGAGGAAATACATTTCAGATAAAACTCAAAAAATCAATACTAAATCAGTTGATATTTAACTGGATTTGACTTTTGTGGAAAAACCAAAAAAAAATATTGATTATGATGTTAAGCAGTTGAGGAGCAGAGCAATCCCTTATGTTAAGGTGTTATGGAAGCACAGTTCCGAAAAAGATGCCACTTGGGAGAAAGAATCATAAATGAGGGTGGTTTTATTTGGTTAAGGTATGACTTTACTGTATATAATTTCTTTTAAATTTCGAAGATGGAATTTTTATTAGGAGAGCAGAATTATAAAACACGAAAGCGACGATCGTAGGTCATCGCACGTATTTCAATGCGTCATGACGAGACTTAAGTGAAAATTTAAGGTTAACGGAATTCAACGAAAATAATGTCATAAAATTCTACGCAAAATTCTGATCAACTTGATATATAAAACATATACCTAATTTTACTTATTTTATAAATTAAAATTAATCAAAGTTTCATAATACCTATTTTACCCCTGAGCGAATAGAAGGCCGGATTTGTTTAAGTGAGAGCATATGAGTCAAATTACAAAACCCTTTCTCCCCAATTATACCAACTGAACTCCCTTCCCCTCTCATTGCATTCGCACAAATGGCCTAATCGAGCGGAACGAGAGGAACAGGCGGACGGCGGGCTCGGCGGTGTTCTTCGACGGCTTCTCGAACGACGATTTTCCGGTGAAGAAATTTGGGAAAATCGTAGAGTAGAATAAGGGGAAAAAGTATGTATGTTTTACTTAAGAAGAATCCCCCTCATTCTCTAGATTTTGGAAGAAGAATTTTCTAGGGTTTAGGTAAAACATTGAATTTCTTTACGAAATCGATAGGGAAGATTAAGAAAGATATTTGAACGATGAAAATGAAGTTTCAATTAATTCTAAGGAGATTTGAAAATTAGGGCTCTTCTCAAAACTCATTTCCTTTGAAAATGCTTTCACCAATGTTGTTCCAAATATCTTTAGAGATGTATTTAAAGAGTGAAACTTAGAGTTTTTACACAAAATATCATTTTTGTAATTTTGAACTATTTAAAATCCGAAAATTAATTAGGGTAATGATTAATTAAGTTTAAGGGAAACTTTGGCATGATGTGAATGTGTAAAAAATAAAATTTTGGTTTTCAAAAATTTGGGTATTTATGTTTTCAAAAATTTTGGTTTTCTAAAATCTCTAAATTTTCTTTTATGTTAAATAAAATATTTTTAGTTTATAAATATTCTATTTCATGCAACTATCATATGTTTAAATTTTCTTTATGTTATTTTGCAAGAAAGATTGTATATTTGCTTATTGTCTTATAACTGAAATTTTTAGGTAGACATGAGAACAATTATGCATAAAACAAGTTAAACGAACACATATGAATTTTTGAATAACTTAAGCACTATGAGATCTATTATTATTGCATGTGCATGTTGATCTGGAAGTGCCAAAATGATAATGGGGTTCTACGGAGCCAAATGGTAAAGGGGTTTCAAAAAGCCAAATGGTCTTCAGAGCCAAATGGTAAAGGAAATTGCCAAAAGACTATGTACCTGATCAGTACAAAACACTGGTACTTTCGGAACGGGTGTATAATTTATGATTAAGTATTTTATGCATATATATGAAAGGTTATGATGAAAGGAAAAGTTTATGAATAATGAAAATGTTTAAGGAAATATTTAAAGAAAATTTTATATAAAAAAGTTATCCAGTATATGCATATCAATATTAATTATGATTTTAGTTTTTTAAAATATTAATGAAAATTTAATGATAAATGTTTTATTTTTAGTTAAGTCATGAATTTGAGATAAATACATGTTACTTGTTAAGCGTTGGTTCATTCTATTATTGGAAATGTTTTTCAGGAGATATTGTTAAGAAGTGATGGTTACGAGACGACAGTATACATGTGTCTGAACAGTTTATTGGAGTTTATCTAATTATGTTGCAGTTTATGTTTTTAGTTTTTGTGTGTGAAAAAAAAAACAAACTTGGAATACTTTATTTGATGTTTTTAGTGGTTCTTTCATATTAATGGATGATGTATGTTATGTTATAAAGGTTTAAATGAAATTGATTATGGTTTACACGTGTTTTTCGTACGACCGACTGTTCCCGCCCCATTATTTTTGGGCTAGTCGGGCCGGGTCGTGACAAGCAGGCAACACACTCAGTTCACTGTTGGTAACATTGTTAGTAAATAAACCGCAGGATGCTTAAAATTAAACATTTCAGTTGTTCACTGAGCTATGCTTTGATTTTCAATAACAAAAGCAATAAAAATTATAATTATCAGAAGACATACCGTGGATAATTTATTTAAAGTACCATCTATCTGCACAAAATAAGCCTCTAAAAGCATCTCCAATTCCTCAATATTAAGCTTAAAAACACTCGAGTTTCCACTGGTGCTCTCTGTTTCAGTTTTGACATCATCCCTGAGCAAAAATAAAATTCGTTAACAGAAAGAGAAGAAGAAGAAATCACCATCTTTACGTACTGTACAGGCAAAAACAAATTAGAATTATTCAACTTTAAATTTGACACTGCCAGAAGAGGATATGACAGAATCCTGACTTCTATAGATCATAAAGCAGAATAACCCAATGGCATTGCATTAATTTTAAGCAAATATATAATACTAAAAAAAAATGAAGCTCCACTATCCTTCCAGATATTCACTTCGAAGAAGAAATTATTTAGGGTTTGTTTTATGGATCCACATTCTTCATTCATTCTACTTGAGTACGTCTTGTGCAAATCTTCCTGAACAACTTGTATAAATTTCACCTTTGAACTACCTCATCTTTCCTAATCATTTCAGATTAATTTAATTTACCCATATTATTGATGCATTTTCTGCCCTCCTATGTATTATCTAAACAACCAAGTTAACTTTTCATTTCACATAAACCTCTCAATTTTCATATAATTACTTATCAATTCATCCTTCCTAATTTTCCCACGTATCTAACTTAAGATTCACATTTCTACTATAGTCATGTTACCTATTTTTTCCTTATCCACTTTAATTATAATTTTGTAAAACTTATCCTCTAGTCCAAGATGCTCTCTTATCATATAACACTCAAATTTCTTAAGTATTTACCTAGCTAAACTCTAGAAACTATCTCCCTACAATATCTCCATCCTATCTAGGTTTCAAACATCACGAAAGAAGAAGAAGAAGAAGGGCAGGGATTGAAGATAAAAATCCAACTTTTTGTGTTTTATCTACATAGTTTGATTTTGAGTTGCAGGTTTAAAAGCTTGAACGAAGAGAAATTATTTTAAGGTGAAAATATCAATTAACTTATTTTTTTGTTAAACTGAGTTATTGATTTAGGAATTCATATTGACTTGAGAAAATTATTATTTTTAGATTGTAAGAAAGATCAAGAGCCTGGGGGAGATAGAAAAAAGAAATTGAGTATAGATAAAAATCCTATAATTATGTTGAGATACTCAATCTCTAATATAAGAAGTAAATTATTCATAAGCCTAATATTTATAAATTTCCACAAATATATTGGCATATTATTTGTATGTTTAAGGAATTCTTTCCTATTGAGCACAACATTAGCGCCTGATGTTGCCACTAAAGCTACTTAACTCTTATATGATCGTATGTTAAATTAGATTCAAGGTATTTATAATTAATTCAAATAATGAGGTGTTTAATCGGATATGAAGCATTATTTAGTATCCAATTTTTACTTGTATATAAAGCATGCCTATAATGCTTATTAATATAGATTGATTGATCATAGGTGCATTTCAATATTCAATAATTTTGAGTAGTTATCGTAATGGTGTTAAAAAAAAGCCTATGAAAAACAAAATCACGTGAGATGGGTTGAATAAAGGTGATGACCTGTTTAAGAGGAAAAAAATCCAACAAGATTAGCTTTAGAAAGGAAATAGAAAAAAGGATTCCATACTCTAGATTCTAAAAATTTGAGATCGACGAACCTTGAATCGAGAGGCTGTTAATAATTACAATATTGGATTGACCAAACATTAAAACTAGTTATTATAGCTGATGGCCTTAATGATTACAAAATAATTTATAAGTGTCAAATCATATATAAACATCATAAGGCATTTTTAATAAAATAAACAATAAAAATGAAAGTAAGTAAATTTATACTTAACTAAGATAGTGCATTAATCGAATTGACACTTGACATATGTACTTCATTTCATTACAAATATTCAAGTTTATTACAGATAATTAAGCCTTTAACTCATCTAATCATAAAAGTAGGTCTTGAATTAAAAGCACTGCACAAAGCTAGTTTTACTTATGAATAATAAAGCTCTTATGAATTCAGATGGCCAATATGACAATATTTTGTTCTTTTCTTGTATTTTTGAACTTTTATTTTAGAATTCTTTATATAATTGAGTATTTAACTCATCAGATATTGCGATAACTATAAATTTTAGGCAAGGACAAAGAGGTGGGGCAATAACCACGAAACCCAATTTGCCTATCAACATTAGTGTTTTATTCGTACATTATTGGATGTATCATAGAGGGAAGACATGTATGATATAAAGACTTTTGCCACATATAAATTTATATATGAAGTTTATCTGGAAGCTTTATAGTTTATATTGATGAATTAATTTATGCATGCTTCCATATTAATGTCTATGATAGATTACTTTAAGGATTATGAAGTATAATATTTTTTTGTGATCATTTATACCGATTAATTTTAAACTCACTCAATCCTAATTGGAAGGAGTCAAGATTAGTATTGCTGTAAAATATGTTGGACTAGATTATTCTTCTTTGTTTCATCTTCTAGTTGACTCGAGAGGACTAAAAATGGAGTGGAGCGGGACAACAAGGATTTTAATCTACAGGTTTCAATGTCTAATTAGTGCAAAAGAAACTTGGGGAGTGTTGAACCATTAGCAGCAGGAAAAAAAAAAAAAGGGGAAAAGACAAAATAAAATACTCAAAAAAATCATTACCTCTGCCATGCTGTGAGCAAATCCCGCAGAAAATCCGATCATTTGCTACAGGCTCGTCGCTGCAGTCGCCCATAACCTGCAAATGGCGCCGTTTGCCGAAATGTCGTTTCGTCACGATCTCCCTCTCACCTCGATCGTGTCTTTAAAACGAGATGGAATTCCTCTCGTTTGAGTCCTTCCCTCCGGCTCTGCTTCTCTGAAAGATCTCCCACAAACCTCCACCAGTCGACCCCATCCTGATCTCCACTGAAGCCGAATCTCCTCTGCTCCTAGCAAAACCGAACCCAAATCCCTTGCCTTCCTCCTCCCGCCGCCTCTGCTTGCGTGAAAACTCCTCAAGCCGCACCAAGCCCGACCTCTCCCTTACTTAAGCCAACCCCAATCCTCTGCCCTAGCTCCCATCATTGCCTCCCGATCCTCACAGAGAGACAGAGAGAGAGGGAGAAAGAGGAAGAGACCTACCTCATTCGACGACTTTCCCTGCTGGTCCGATCAGAAGTAGCAACAAGAGCTCGTTGGCTGTGAAGGTAGCCGGCTACCTTTCACGTGCTTCTTGCGGCCAAATCCCGTCCCAAACGAACTTTTATTGGGTGCGGAGTGCGGACGTAGCTCTGTGTATGCAAACAAGTAGTTTTGCGCGACGTGGAGCCCACCTTGACTCCACCGTATTGAGGAGATCGTGTGCTCTGTTAACCCGATAACACGAACCATCCGAACTACTTCAAAAAATGCGCGGTAAAAGCTAGGGTTATATTTGCTGGCGCGGTTTTTTTACCTCAGTTAAAACTTTTTTTCTCGTAACACCTGAAACCATAGAAAGCACGAGAAGAGCGGAAGGTCTGAGGTTTCTTGGCGTAAGGTCTGAAGATGGATTCTGTGCCGGAAGAGATGAACGACTGGTCGGAGATGGAAGGTTTTACGCAAGAGTCAGAGCTTAGAGGTGGAGATGGTTTGCAACAGAATACCCAACCAAACTTTGATATATTATCGGTAAATATGATATGAAAGCCGTGACTTGTTTAGTGTTTTAAAAAAATTGTATTGGTGAGAATATATGTATTGGTGGGTTGGCGGTACCGTTTAGTATCTTTTTTAAATGTTCGGTACCGCTAGGTATCAGTAGGTAATCGGTTGGGTAACTGGTAGGTACCGGTAGGTACAGAATTTAATTTTGAAATGTGTGTGTGTTATCCATATCCCAACTCTGTCCTTTGGTTGTTGTTCAGTAGGTTGTTTGTGAATAGTGGAGAAAGAGGCTTATGATATATTACTGTCGATACGCCGCATAGTGTTGGTTGTAGTGTTCGCAAAGATCATCACTGTTACTGGCCTAATTCGCGGAAGATACGGATGAAAGATTTAGTATGTTCGAAATCTGGTTTTAAGAAGGGCCTTGACCTGAATGCCAAATCGAAATACAGGAAAGCCAATACTAGGACTGGGTGTCCCGCGATGATTAGATTTTCAGTTGATCAAGAAGGGGAATGGAAGGTTAATAAATGTGTTGAGAACCACAACCATGAGTTGGCAAGGCCTGAAGATCAACATTTATTGAGATCATGCAGGAATATTA